TAGCTCTAAATCCAGGTTTGAAAATCTAAATTTAATCCTAACCTAAAAATAAGTAGAACGTCAGAGGTGTACCTTTCCTTAGCATGAATAGGTTGTTAAAAATGTGGATTTCTCCATATTCAGTGCTATTTTCTTTGTAAAACGTGGGGTATGATCTTTTGGGAAAATATTTGGCCCTAAGTGTTAATAAAACCATACTTGAGAAGCAAATATTTTAAATTTACATCTGGATGGAAATAAAATAACTTATTAATAAAATTAATCCCCTAAGGTACCTAGGGCTATTTAAATACTTAGCATGATAAAATGAACTCCTTAACATGATAGCTTAACTAAATAAAACACAGTCATTTAGTTTCTATTCTTCTCCCTAATATAAAAGAGCAGGTTAATATATACTTTTTTTGTATTGTTCTGTTTTGTTTTTATTATGCTGTGTCCAGCCTTTGTGAAAGCCTTTGGCTTTCAGTAATGAACAGGCCAGTCTGGCTGAAAGAAGGCAGAGATATAAACAAGTAGAAGCAGTTATTAAGAGTAGTAAGTGATTAAAGAAAGAAATAAGTTTAATAGGAGGGAAAAAAGAGAAACAAACCAATAAATTGGGGGAATGTGTAACAAAAGCACAAAGCTCTGAGGAATTGAAAATTGGAATGAGCCACCAGATACTATTTTTAAATCAGTCTACTGTCTTACAGATTTTATATTTTTGATCATTTTTGGTTTGGCATTCTTCTATCACAGTATTTCCTGTAAAATAGATTGTTTTTCACAGTACCATCTTTATCAAAATCATGCTAGGACCCCCACTCCAGGTCTACCCTATCTGTATATCTAGGGCTGAACCTGGGAATATGCATTTTAACCCACTTTCCAAGTGATTGTTACATGTATACAGAGTAAAATCTGAAAATTACTGCAGTAGTTTAACAGTGTTTGAGTGCAGTTTTATTGCTTTTGCAGTAATGCCTTTATTTGCCCAAAAACATACTTTTTCCAAAACCCAATTAAAGCTGCCTTTATTAATTTCTTTTTAAGGCAGAGCTAGTTGTTTTCTCCTCTGCTTGCCCAGCGCTATGATCCTGCCTTTATTATAGTAATTGTGAGTGTCCCAAATATGTTAGTACAGATTTAAGCTTTAATAGGTTCACATGTGTGAATATGCTATAAATGTAACACACACATGCTTTGCAAATTTAATTATTTCAATTTATTTTATAGTCCTTTAGTATTGTTTATTTCAAATAGTTTTTAATTTTAATATTTGTGACAGTTTTTTCGACTGATGTAAAACCTTGGCTACCTCAGTCACTTGATGTATCTCTTTTAGACTTTGTCTTTTGGAGTCATGTCAGAATTATCACGTATGGATCAGTACTTCATTCTTTGAAAAATCTTAAAGCTTGGATTATAGATGTATTTGTTTTAGTCACTGAGGAGCAGCAGCTGATGAAAAATTCTACAAAGTTTGAAATTTGACTTGAGCAATGTATAGCACAACACAGTGGTCACTTTGCATTTTAATGAGAAATATGTCAATATTTTAAAATTTTAAATAATTGACCTTTCACATGTGGATTTGTATATTTTTGTCGCATTTATACTTATAAAGTTATTGAAACAAACTTCATGAAGACTTTGGAATTCTACATATTTTAACTTACTTATGTGAATGCCTGTCTCTTTAAACTGTGGTTTTCTAAGTCAGGGGACATGTTTTATTTATCTCTGTATCATGAAGACAGTTGATTAATATTCGCCGAAACAAGAGGGAAAGTACATCTATTATGCATTGTCCAATTTGCTTAATATATTCAGTATTACACAGTATTAGTAAATATATTTGGATGTACTTTATATATTTAATGTTTATTTTTGAGAGAGAGAGAGAGAGAGAGAGAGAGAGAGACTGAGCGTGAGCAGGGGAGAGGCAGAGAGAGAGGAAGAGGAAGATACAGAATCTGAAGCAGGCTCCAGGCTCTGAGCTGCCAGCAGAGATCCCGACACGGGGCTTGAACCCACAAACCGTGAGATCATGACCTGAGCCAAAGTCAGATGTTTAACCAACCCTTGATTTTGGCTCAGACTATGTTTTCATGGTTAATGGGATCAAGCCCCGCATCAGGCTCTGCACTGACAACACCGAGCCTGCTTAGGATTCTGTCTTCCTCGGTCTCTGCCCCTCCCCTACTTATGCACACACACACACTCTCTCTCTCAAAATAAAATTTAAAAAGGACTTTGTAAAACTAATAAGTGATTTTTTAATTTAGTATCAAATGTATTAATACATATAAATAAAACTAATATTTAGTTTACTGTTTCCATCTATTGCAACTATTATTTTTTTAGATTCCCAAATTGCTCCATCTTTGGCCAGTGAAAATCTCTTCATGTTGACTTCTGAGTCCTACTGACACAAACAATCCTTGTATAGTTTGATAGCTTCTTTCTATGTGTGTCACAGTATAATCCAGGCTCATCTTATACATTCATATCCCAGATCTGGAATCCACCATTTTCCTTAACCAAAGCCCCAAGAAATAGTATTTGAAAATCACTAACTGTGAGGAGTTTATTTATTACTCAGTTATGTCTTTTCAGGGGGCCTAAGAAATACATACACACGTGTGTACATGATGCATTAAGAGACTCTAGGTTTTACTGACCTTCTTATATATGTATCTGCTTTGTCTCATGCTAAAATTACTTAGGACACCAAAAATGATAGAATGATAGTAGTATCACATAATTGTTCATTTGCTTTATCCTATGGAATGCAGTAGTTTCAGCAAAACAATAACAGAGTAACAATAACTAACCAACAATATGATTGCTGCCAATAGTGTAAGATTTTGTTTAATAGTTCTTTTGTTATGTCATACTAGGGATATGCAAGTAAAGTATTATATTTTAAAGAACTTGAAATAGTTATTCTCTGTGTGATTATTGCTGTGTGATCACTGGCAGGATATACATTTAGATCATATTTACTTTTTTCCTTGAGGAAAATTCCTTTGAAGTTTGAACATTTAATCATATTCTCTGTTTCTGGGAAGGTAGGTAAATAATCAAACTTGTATCCATTATAGCTGAAGCAAGTTGTAGAGGCAGTTTGGGGAAACTGGGCAACTTTCCAACTTTTCCCAACTCATCTCTTACCAATGTAATTGTGTCTGAAATTAATTCTATAAAATTGCAGTCTTCCAAATTCTGATGTAAGTACAGTGCACTTTTCCAACATAAATGCTTTATCTATACCTTTCTTCCTCTGTACACATAATTCATACTTAATTTGTAAAGACATAGATATGGCTATATTTGTAACAGACTTCTTCTTTGGCACAGAAGCGCTGCAGAATTGCAAGACCCAATCCTTAAGTATTTCATTTAGTCTATGAAATGAAACAGACCTATATTTAACCTTAAAACTTTTACGCCTGATAAGAATATGTACTACTTCTGACAAGGTATTGTGGTGAAATGGCATGATCAAAAACTATGTTCAACAGTATTCGTTTTTGTTAAAATTAAATTCAGGGAAAGAGATGAAATGGGCTGTCATTCCTTAAAATATGCAGTACTGTGAAACATGGATATTTTTTCAAAATTAGATAGCCAAATAATAATTAGTTAACTTTCTACTTTGAAGTAAAGGTAATTAGTTTACATTTTAAAAATAAAGACACAGAACAACAGTAATTCATAGTTAAAATGTATTTATCACTGTCAGATAACAATGCCAGATACTGTGCTAAGCCATTCATCCATCTTCTCACTTAATCCTCACAACACCCTTATTGTGTTACTACTAATGTCATGCCCATTTTATGAATTTCTTCAGGAAACTAAGCCATAGAAACAGAAGTTTCTAAGCAAAGATCACTTTGCTATATGTTTGCTCATTGTAAGTCTAGCAATTGCAGGTAAAAAAACAATGGTGATTTTTTAAAATAATTTTTTTACAATTTCAAGGATTCAAATTTATGTTAAGAACTATGAACTTGATCATAGCAGCACTCTCAACAATAGCCAAATTATGGAAAGAGCCTAAATGTCCATCAACTGATGAATGGATAAAGAAATTGTGGTTTATATACACAATGGAATACTACGTGGCAATGAGAAAAAATGAAATATGGCCTTTTGTAGCAACGTGGATGGAACTGGAGAGTGTGATGCTAAGTGAAATAAGCCATACAGAGAAAGACAGATATCATATGGTTTCACTCTTATGTGGATCCTGAGAAACTTAACAGGAACCCATGGGGGAGGGGAAGGAAAAAAAAAACAAGAGGTTAGAGTGGGAGAGAGCCAAAGCATAAGAGACTGTTGAGAACTGAGAACAAACTAAGGGTTGATGGGGAGTGGGAGGGAGGAGAGGGTGGGTGATGGGTATTGAGGAGGGCACCTTTTGGGATGAGCACTGGGTGTTGTATGGAAACCAATTTGACAATAAATTTCATATATAAAAAAAAATAATAATTGGTCTAAAAAAAAAGAACTATGAACTTGATATGTACCAATTTTATAATATTAAGGATATTTAATAGCTGGAAATAATTGAAAATATAAAAGCATTTTTGAGATTAAGATATGACTATAGAAGTAAATACTAGTATTTTTCCTAATGTTCCAATCTATAATAAATTAGTATTTGAAATGTTGGAAATATTTCAATGAAATGTATTTATCAGATGTAAAAGTTTAGATAGAAAATGGTTACAATATTTTTTCTGATGTATATTATTCTGTATTGTATTCTGTGTAAAATTAGAAAATATAGTTAAGCAAATATAAGAATATCTGTGTAACTGATCATCAGAGCTAACCACTATGAATATTTTGGTATATAGCTTTCCAGATTTTATTCACATTCTTATTGCTGGTTTTGCTTGAATTGTCAAGATTTTTTCAAATTGTTATACATTTCCTAAGAAAGTATTTTAAAAGGAATGCTTGATTTGTTTTGAAAACTAATGTATATGTTTCTTTTTTTAAAGGATTGTACTGTGTATGAAACAGAAAATAAAATTCTTCATGTGGTAAGTTTATTTGGGTTTATTTTCATCTTCATTAGAAAATGCTTCTTTGTTTAACTAGTAATTAAATAAAAAGCTATAGCCTATAAAAAATGAGACCTGTATATTTTATAGGAAAACTACAAAAGAACATAAAAAGTATAAAAGAACAGGTTATATTAGTTAAAATCATTCTTTTGTATCCTAATAGGAAAATATCATATAATATGATAAAAATTTTGAGATTGTAGTATGTAGAAAGGTTGGGATGAAGAATCTAGAAAAAAAGAGAACTTTAAGTCAGAATTTTTTACCATTCATTTGAGAAAGATATCAGAGAAAAGTATTTGGTTGTATAATGGGGTAACAACCTATCATCATTTGGGTGAAATAATTAATAAAATAATCAATTTGCCTTTGATCAGATTCTATACTCCCCAAACCTCCTTCCAAATTTTAATTTGGCAATATTTGTTGAATCAGTTAATCATTTTGTAGATATTACTAGAAACAGAGTATAAATACACTATACTTTTATAGAAAAGTATCTCCTTTTTTGTTAATGAACAGTTTACTGCTTTTCTTTGTAAATCCGTATCTTGGTTGATGCTCATCTGTCCTGATAACTTCTTCACCTCTGTTAGAAATGAGTGACAACATAAGTAACATTAAAGAAGTTTAGAAATGAATGCTATATATTTGTCAATTTTGCATTCAAGCTAGTGACAATTTAAAGATCCTGTTTGACAATGATTGAGACTGTGGATGGCATTAACCAAATAGTTCAGCTCAGAAAGCACTTGTATTTTCTTTCTTTTTTTTTTTTTTTACAGTTCTCCTATTCTTTTGTTTATTTTTTTTGTTAACATTGTTTTAAGGTTTTTTTTGAATTCCAGTAGTTAGCATACAGTGTAGTATTAGTTTCAGGCATTATAAAATAGTGATTCATCACTTCCACACATCACCTGCTGCTCATCACAAGTGCACTTCTTAATCCCCATCACCTATTTCACCCATCCCCCTCACCCCTCCCCTCTGGTAACCATCAGTTTGTTCTGTGTAGTTAAGACTCTGTTTCATGGTTTGCCTCTCTCTCTTCTTTTCCCTTTGCTGTTTGTTTGGTTTCTTAAATGCCACCTATGAGTGAAATCACATGGTATTTGTCTCTTTCCACTTCTCCCTTCCCAGCCTTTTAATGTAAAGATGGGCTAGCCTTTAGTAGAAGGTTATATTCTTGTGTGCTACTTTTCTCACACTAAGAATTCTTTTTTAAAAATAATAAAATAATATACTATACCACTTGGTATATATGATGCTAGAATACTTTCTTGAAAACAAAATATTCATAAAGTATCTTTCCAGATTTCCTGTAATGTAGAGGTAATCATGTTAAGTCTAAAGGACTGTCTGAACCCTAATTCTCTTTTTAAAATTTTTTAATGTTTATTTTTGAGAGAGAGAGAGAAACAGAGTGCAAGTGGAGGAAGGGCAGAGAGAGAGACACACACAGAATCCAAAGCAGGCTCCAGGCTCTGAGCTGTCAGCACAGAGCTGGGCATGGGGCTTGAACTCAAGAACTGCGAGATCATGACCTAGCCACCCAGGCATCCCTGCACCCTAATTCTAACAGTTTGTATCTCAGTGACCTTAGTCAAGTAGTTTGTCTTTGATATTTTTAAGGTAAATTTTAACCATTAAAAAATTTTATTGTTGATTTACACATAACATTGTATTAGTTTCAGGTATATAACATAATGATTAGATATTTGTAGGTGACTTTGTTCTTAATATGTAAAATGAGAATATTAATTTCTTCTAAGTACAATTGTTTATAGTCTCATTACCTTCTTTCCAATATTTATTTATGTTTTTTTTATTTTCCCTTTTTCTTTTTTATGTGTACCAGAAAATAAAAAGCCTGAGTTTTGATATAACTTGTTTAGAATCAAATTGTTACTGACTCTGAATGTTCTCCTTGTTCCTATGAGACTTGAGTCAGAGTGCTCATACAAATGAGTAGAGATTACAGTAACTTGAGATAGGCACTAGAACATCAACTGTCTCAGCCCAGACCCATTCCCTATATCTGTATTTTGTCTGGAGGCTAGGGGAGGCATTTATAAAGAGGAAGGATAACTTATCATTTATGAAAATCTGCTCTATCTTGGGAGTTACATAGGCAACACAAGTATCAGAGTATTCTTCAACAGCTGCACAAACTGAGATAGTTAGGAAAGTTGTGAGGTGTATCTTTTCCTAAAATAGATCTTTATTTAGGGATGAGTGAAGAAAAAGAATGGGAAGGAGAAGGGGAACTGTTTATTAAGAACATCTATTTAATGATCTCAGTAAGAATCAAAAGAATACTGTTTGCATTAAAATAGAATACCATACTATAAAGAAAGTAAGGCCACTATAAACTGAACACAAAATAAACTTTAAAAAGTCTTTAAAACTGAGAACATGGAAATAGAAATTAAACCATGCTGAAAGCAGTAAAAAGCATATTAATTATTACAGAAAATTGAAACAGTAAGACACAAAATAAACATTTTTATTGCTCAGATTATTAGTAAATTAATAAAAAGACAAAAAATGAGAGAAGATAATGGGTATAGAGGATAGATTATGGTTAGCCCACCTTCAACTAATTATTAGTTTCTAAAGAAGAAAACAATAGGAAATAATTAAGGATATAATAGAATAATTTAGGAATAAAAATTGGGAAAATTGAATTTCTCAACAAATTAAGAAAGTGAATTGGAAAGATCACGATTTCAAGATATTTTCTGTTAATATATTACAGTTTCTATGTCAAGAAGCAACTACATTTAACTAGTAAGAAGAGATACATGAGAAGTTTCACTTCAAACAAATTAAACTTATGTTATATTCAAATGTCTACTCTGAAACCATAACTTCCAGAAGACAATGAAACAAAATCCACAAATCGTTTTTTTCTGTTTACTTTATATTATTTTTTATTTAAATCCAAGGTAGTTAACATATAGTATAATAATGGTTTCAGGAGTGGAATTTAGTGATTCATCACTTAATATAACACCTGGTGCTTACCCTAACAAGTGTCCTCTTTAATGCATGTCACCCATTTAGCCCACCCCCCCACCCAACACTCCTCCAGCAACCCTTAGTTTGTTCTCTGTATTTAAGAGTCTCTTATGGTTTGCCTCCATCTCTGTTTGTATCTTAATTTTCCTTCCCTTCCTCTGTGTTCATATGTTTTGTTTCTTAAATTCTACATATGAGTGAAATCATAAATATTTTTCTGACTTATTTCACTTAGTGTAATGTATTGTAGTTCCATCCACGATACTGCAAATGGTAAGATTTCATTCTTTTTCATCACCAAGTAATATTCCACTGTGTGTGTGTGTGTGTGTGTGTGTGTGTGTGTGTGTGTGTGTGTCTGGGTGTGTCTGGGTGTGTATACACACACACAGAGATACCACATCTTCTTTCTATTTGTCAGTGGATAGACATTGGGCTCTTTCCATAATCTGGCTATTGTCAATAGTGCTGCTGTAAACACTGGGGTGCATGTGCCCCTTCAAATCAGCATTTTTGTATCCTTTGGGAAAATACCTACTAGTGCAATTGCTGGGTCGTAGGGTAGTTCTATTTTTAATTTTTTGAGGAAACTCCATACTGTTTTCCAGAGTGGCTGTGCCAGTTTGCATTCCCATCAGCAGTGCAAAAGTGTTCCCCTTTCCCCGCATCCTCACCAACATCTGTTGTTTCCTGAGTTTTTAATTTTAGCCATTCTGACAGGTTTGAGATGGTATCTCCTTGTGGTTTTGATTGTATTTCCCTGATGATGAGTGATGTTGAGCATCTTTTCATGTGTCCATTAACCATCTGGATGTCTTCTTTGGAGAAGTGTCTGTTTATGTCTTTTGCCCATTTCTTCACTGGATTATTTTGTTTTGGGGTGCTGAGATTGATAAGTTCTTTATAGATTTTGGATATTAACCCTTTATCTGATATGTCATTTGCAAATATCATCTCCCATTCTGTTGGTTGCCTTTTAGTTTTGTTGATTGTTTGCTTTGCAGTGCAGAAGCTTTTTATCTTGATGAGGTCCCAAAGGTTTGTGTTTACTTTTGTTTCCCTTGCCTCTGCAGACACATCAAGAAGTTGCTGCAACCTAGGTCAAAGAGTTTACTTCCTGTTTTCTCCTCTAGGATTTTGATCATTTCCTGTCCCACATTCAGGTCTTTCATCCATTTTGAGTTTATTTTTGTGTATGGTGTAAGAAAGTGGTCCAGGTTCATTTTTCTGCATGTCACTGTCCAGTTTTTCCAGCACCGTTTGCTGAAGAGACTGTCTTTATTCCATTGGATATTCTTTCCTGCTTTGTCGAAGATGAGTTAGCCATATGTTTGTGGGTCCATTTCTGGGTTCTCTATTCTGTTCCATTGATCTATATATCTGTTTTTGTGCCAATACCATGCTGTCTTGATGATTACAGCTTTGTAATACAGCTTGAAGTCCCAAACTGTGATGCCTCCAGCTTTGGTTTTCTTTTTCAACATTACTCTGGCTATTTGGGGTCTTTTCTGGTTCCATACATATTTTAGAACTGTTTGTTCTAGCTCTGTGAAGAATGCTGGTGTTATTTTGATAGGCATTGCATTGAATGTGTAGATTGCTTTGTGTAGTATCTACATTTTAGCAATATTTGTTCTTCCGATCCATGTGCATGGAATGTTTTTTCCGTTTTGTGTGTGTCTTCTTCAATTTCTTTCATAAGCTTGCTATAGTTTTCAGCATACAGATCATTTACCTCTGTGGTTATGTTTATTCCTAGGTATTTTATGGTTTGGGGTCCTATTGTAAATGGGATCAATTCTTTGATCTCTCTTTCTGCTGTTTCATTATTGGTGTATAGAAATGTAACCAGTTTCTGTATGTTGATTTTATACCCTTCTCCTTTGCTGAATTCATGTATCGGTTCTAGCATTTTTGGGGGGGAAGTCTTTCGGGTTTTCCCCATAAAGTATCAT